TCAGTTCAGCCCCTAAACTCTTCCCACCGAGCCAGATGGTGGACACCCAACCCTCAAGGAACCCCCATCCCAGGGTGGAGGGCTCAGGCTGGAGCTGCTATATGGGAAGGGCATGCTTCTGTCCCCATATGGCTCATAGCTTCCTGCAGGCCCTGCCCTGCCCTGCTCCAGGCCGGGCCTTCAGCATGTTGGCCCCAAGCCCCGGTGCTGTCCAGACCCTTCTCCCTCAAGCCCTGCCCTGCCAAATGTGAAATTCTGCCAACTCCCCCAAGCTCCCCGGGGGAGCCTCAATGACTCTTCTGGGGGCTACAGTGGCATGGCATGTTGTGTCCCCCAGCTGGTCCCAGGATGGCTATGCAAGAGGTACACTCTGTGTCTGCCTCACCTTCCCAGGGCAGGCCCTATCCTGGCCTGTCGGTGCCCAACTCTGCTGTGGGAGATTGGCAGCTGTGAAGTCCAGACACCCTGACCAAGTTGTCCCCAGCCTGGCACTTGGCCTTTGAAGCAGGGGGACAAGGCAAGCCTCCAAGCCAAAAACACAGGCCAGGGTGTTGTCCTCGGAGGGCTCGCCCTGCTGGCTGGCAGCAGGTACTCATGAGGGATCTAGATCCCCCAGCCCCCAGGGAGCATCCATCCATTTTACTAGGAAATGGTATCTTGGCCTCATCAAGGGGTCCAGCCGCAATATCTGAGTTGGACACAGGGCGTTGTAGCTGGGGTGGAGATTCAGGCTGGACTGCTGGGGCATCCATGGGACAGACCTTTGGGGACTATGGTCCCAGCTCTTGCCTGCAGGTAGCCCTACTGGAGGGCTCTGTACCACCTTCCAACCCAGGGTCTCTTACCCTGCAGCGTAGGAGGGGCCAGGGTAAGGGAAACTGAAGGATTAGCCCTGGGGACCCAACTTCTGAGAGGCAACAGCACACAGGGCAGGAGCATATCCCAGAGCACAGGGTCTCAGGCGGGACGTAGTGGCCGCCTGCATACTTGAATGTACATGCGTATTTATTGCTCACTCGTGTTTGCCATGTTATGGGTTCTTTCCGACCTGAGAGGTACGTTTTTGTTTTACCCAAAAATAAAAGTCTGCCAAGTGAGAGTGGCTTCTGTTGGAATTTGTGTCAGTCAGCCTTCCCAGGACATGGGCTTGGTTTGCCCAGCGCAGTGCCTTCCAGCATACAAGCCGTTTGTGATCATGAGGAATACTGGAGCCAGGAACTCAATCTCTGCTTTCTCTGCTGGTCTCCATTGCCCCGGCTTTCTAGAGACAGGGCGCAGGAGCCAGGAATGCCACTGCATTGAACACTGAGGACTGGGCCCTTCTGAGCAGTCTTACCCTGACTGGATTAGCTCCAGCCACGGGGCTCCCTTTATCTTAGCAGCTCATATTACTGGGACTGGGTTATGCCAGTCCAAGCAACACAGGAACCTGGGGAGCCTGGCTTGTCCTCGGGGTTCATGTGGTGAGCGGCATCCCATGGAACTCAGGTCCTGATTGGGCCCTTTGGGGAGAGGCCTGACGATAGGCCAGGGGAGGTAGAACACAGGCTAAGATCAATAAAATATCCTAGGGAAGTCACTGGGAGCCTGGAGTGCTGTGGTGGCTCTAGAGGCAGCCGAACTCTCCCAGGCAGGCTGGGATTGCTTCGGTGCTGGGAGGCCAACTTTGGAAGGAGCCATGGGAAGGGAGTATGTTGAGAGGGCCACGTTGCAGGGGAGTCACACCGGAAGCACCGGGCTGGCCGACATGCTAGGATGTTGGGAGGAAGCAGCAGACAGCTTAACTAGCTAGTCAGAACAACTCCAAGCGGCCATGTAATTGGGAGCAGTGGGCCAGGGTGAGTCTGCAGAACAGGGTAGCGGTATGGATGTGCAATAAAGGGTCTGTGTGAAAGGTGAGGGTTAAAAGTGAAACCTCGATGTCCAGGAGAACCTCCCAGAAGGAGGGCTGTGGAGCCCTCCCCAGATGGGGAGCAGCAGCACGCAGAAGGCACACACAGAGATAAGTCCACACCATGGGCTTTGATTTCCCACCCAGATCCAGCTCTGCAGTAGCCATCAGGGACAGCCAGGTCTGGGCTTCCTCAAACTCTGGTCCAGACACCCGAAGGCACCAGGGCAGCCCAGCCAGGCTCCGATGGCCTCCTGCACGCGAAGGCCCACGAGCAGCACAGTCAGTCCCCTCTGACCTCTGTGTCCTCCACAGGGAGCAGGCTGGAGTTGGGGGCCGGCTCTGCCTCTAGGACTGTGACAGCACAAATGGCACGGGAGGCTCTGGGCGGGGATAATAGCAGGGTGTTTGCAGAGGGAAGGACAGGGGGGTAATTGAGAAGAGGCACCGACTGCGCGTGCACCCGGCCTCCCACGGCCTGCAGTGAACTGCTAATCACTAGCTGGGTCCCGGGAGACAGGGCGGCATTGTGTCACTGTCACACTGTCTTCTCCACCCTCCTGTCCCAGGTCTTTCCCTGCCAGATGGGCTGGTGACGGATGCTGAAGGTCACGGGGCCCAGAAACTTCTGCGGAAAGCCAGTCATGGTCTTGCATCTGTTTGCTTTCCGAAACACAGGAACATCCTGAAGGTGTGTCAAACAAAGTTGGGAGATGAAGCACACACCAAGGCAAGCCTGATGGGGCCCTCATCACTGCCACGCATCTCCGCTTAGGCCCCAGCACAGGAAGAAGCATTGAGAGGTGCAGGCAGCTCATGGGGGGGGGCTCTCCTTTACTTCCTCTTCAAGCCTCTGAGCAGTACCCTACGGATCTATGGCCACACTGGGAAGCCTGCTCTGCTACAAAGCCATGCCTCACGGTGGGTTTGACGCTAGCTCACCCAATGGAAGCGACCACCGCTAGCCAGGAGACAGCAGGCAACATAGGAGGAACAGAAACTGCCCAAGGTCACAAGGCTAACTCAGTACCCAGCCCCAGCCTCCCCGGGAGGAGGACTACCACATACAGGGAGGAGGTGACTCCTCTGAAGAGGTAGGATGCTCATGAGGTTGCAGTCCTAGAGCCACAGAGTTGTTCTGACTTCAGAAAAGAAAGACAGGAGCCCGGGCCCAGCACCTGGAGGTGACAGCTGTTTACTGACAAGGAACAGGCCGGGCCTGAGAGGTTCCAGGTGGATGGAGTAGCTTTTGGGAGGCTGGAGTCCACAGCCGCAGAGTGTACAAGTCAGCTCTGTTCGGTCCTGCCGGGAAGAGCGGGGTCCTCGCCCCCTTCTGGGGCGGCAGGTGGTTCGGCAGCCTCCAGAATCAGTTCCAGGGCGCCCTCGCCAGACACTCGGCGAACCTCCTCTCCTCTGGCTGCCAGGATCTCTTCAATGTTCCTGCAAGACAGGAAGGCAGCACTAGCTCTGTGCTGGGCTCCCTCAGGGGCCAGCTTGGCACTGGAACACTTGTCCCAGCACCCGAGTGACAGCGGTACCTCACAGGTACTGATGTACCTTCACCAAATGTGTGTGTTAGCAAGCGCCACCTCGGAAGCCACCTCTCCGCTGCGGTTTGCCATCAGGTGCCTCGGCCCTGCCTCTCACCAGCCATCCCTGCAAGTTCTCTTCTGTTCCTAGGTATCCGAGCTGAGATTTCTAGGTGAACCCTAGAGACCCAGGGCCTGCATGCTTATCTCACAGGCTCTCCTCTGTGGCTCTGCCCATGCTCCTGCCACGCATCCCTCCTCACAGGAGGACACTAAGAAGCCATTAGGCACATCCTCCACACCGGCTCCTGGCCCTCCCCACTGTCCTCCCAAAAGTAGGAACACCACCTGCAGGCTGGCACTCTGTTAGACAGTCTGACACGTACCTGTCAGAGGACAAAGGGCCTTAATTAGAAAGTGGAAAGGCCATTGGACAGATCAGAGGTCAGGCAGTGACAGGCAGAGCCACAGAACTAGACGTGAGATGCCTAGAGGTATAGTTTGCCACATTTGGAGGCTACTCGTGGCTTATTCGAGGTTCAAAATCAACAGCTTCTAGATCCACGTGGAGACTGGGCTGTCCAGGTAGAGGGGTCCCCATGAAACCTGGCAAGGCTCCTGAGCGGGCTCTTGACCCAGGGCCCAGGTTCATAAAGAGCCACAATCCCACTGCCTCCTACCCCCAGCTGAACCTGCCTCTTCCCCTTCAGGTCGGAGAACCAGCCTAGGTTGTCGGCGATGATGTGGTGGTTCTGGCAGCCAGGGCAGGTGACGATCACCACACCTTGGTGATAGGCCAACTTCGAGATGCGCTTGGATGACCGAGTCCCACAGACCTAGCGGGGTTAGAGAGGGCGTCAGGCCAGGTACACACAGGAAAGCCCCCTCCCGAGGGCGGACACCACCGTCAGGGGCAGCCCCAACTCTTTCCCAGATGGTCCCACCTTGGAGAGATCCCAGTCACTCCCTTCCCAGAACGACCACCTTACCCATCACTCAGAAGGCCCTGCCCCTCAAAGATAGCCCCACCCCTTCTCAGCCCGCTCGTGAAGACCCCGCCCCCTCCCTAGCCGAAGGTTACTTCCGTCCCCTTCTCCCAGAACCCCATTCCTTCCGGAAGTCAGCCAGTCCTTTTAGAAGTCGACCAGCGCCAGGTTCTGCCGACCACGCCCACCTTGCAGGTGTAGACGAGCTGGTAGCGGTCCGCCTCCACGCGCCCCAGCGCTGCCCCAGGCCCTGATCCCTGCGCGGAGCTCGAGCTACGCCAGCCCCAGGCCCAGCCCCGTCGTCTCTCCGCAGTCCTCAGGCGAGCCTCTGAATCCCAAAGCCGCCCCGGGCCGGGATTCCGGGTCCGCACACTACGCAGTAGTACAGGCACGCGGCACAGAGCTATCCGCAGCATCCTGCCTGCAGTCCTTGGCCGCCCCTTCTAGCACCGCCCCGTGCGGCTGAGGCTGCATCGGCCATCTTGGAAACGGGCGCCGTGGCCGGAAGCGGCCCTCTTCGGCCTCGGTCGCCGCCGGCGCGCTGCCCTCTGGCGCCCCCTGGCGTCCCCCCGAGTGCACATGCACCTGACAGGCTCGGCTTGGTGGTCATTTTATTTAGTTGCATTTTCCAATACTTGTACAACGCATGTGTAGCGTACAGTAAAAAAAAAATGCAGCATCCCTTCACAATTACACGGATGCTCAGCCTCGGCGCGAGCTGCTAGGAGCCCTCGGTGTCGGTGTTGTCGCTGCCTGTGGTGTTCTCGCGGTCCCCCTCGTCCTGTCGCCAGCTGTTGTGAGCCTTGCGGAGCGCCCGCTTCCTGTGGGACCCGCAGTGTAAGCAGGTGCACGCAGGTGTCCTACCCTCCCAGGCCGTCCTGCCCGCCGCCCTGCACCTGCGGTAGTTCTCGAAGCTCTCCTTGAGGCGCCGCCGCTCCTTCTCCGGGGGCTCGCTGCTGCTGCTGGGCCCCATGCCCTGCAGAAGGAACGGGGCAGGCGGCTGGACACCGTGGACCTTCCCAAGGCCGCCCTGGGACTCCTGCAAGTGTGAAACCGAGCCAGCTGGCAGAACGCCTGATGGACTCCCAAGATGAGTGAGCATGGGGGAACTACCCCTTTAGTCCGGCTGACTGGATGACGTCTTGGTTGAGGAACAATACTGTAACTATGTAAAGGTGTGTTACATTTCTTTGTGTTGCAGGATATTGCTTTACGTAAAGGTGTGGCGTCTTTTGTGTATGCTGCGTTTGTTTAATTACGTGCTGCTGTTTTACCTTGCCTACCTAAGGCACCTAAATGGTCTAAATGAAAAGCCAGACAGAAGAGGGCTAGGTGGGGCTGGTGGTCAGAGAGAGTCAGTAGGGGAGGAACCCAGGTTTGAGAGAGAAGAGAATGAGTGAGAAAGGCCAGACAGACAGACAGACAGACAGACTGACTGACTGACTTACGGAAGCAGGAAGAGTAGGACATGCAGAATGAAAGAAAGGTAAGAAGCCCCGAGGCAGAACGTAGATGAAGAAACGGGTTAAAAAGTTATAACGCCCAGTGGGACAGGCATAAGACCGAGCATTCATAACTAGTAAGTTTCCACATCGTTTGGGAGCTGGTTGGCGACCCAGAGAAAGCCTGCTACACTTTTGTTACTGTATGGGGGCCCTTTCGTGTTGCCCCCACCCCATCCAGCCACCACACATCTAGGGTTCTGTCCATGAAGAGGGGCTCCACTTCATGTACCAGACAGTACCCAAAAGTTCTGTCACACGCATGCACCTTGCGATGCCCAGCTGTCCTCCCCAAGATCAGCCATTGAGTCTGCAAGGCTCTGGGGGCCCCAGTCAGCCTTACATGGGTTTGTGAAAGCTGCTCCTTGCTCTGAGCCACGAAGGGCTGCTCTGGGCTCTCCCTGTCTGCCAGGACACCTGAAAGGAAGAGCCGTGTGTAAGGGGGACCCCATCCAGCATGGCCACCACCTCCCTCTGCTAACAGCCCCACAAGCACTAGCCCAGACCAGCCTCATGGGCTGGGATCCTCACCCAAGTCCAATGGAGTCTGTATTTCCCAGACAGCGACAGGCTGAGCCAGCCCTAGCTGCCAGGAGCACTCAACAGGGCTCCTACCAACACTCACCCACCCATACCTTCCAAGCTAACTGTCACCAAACATACAAGGAAGGGCGGGTAAGAAAGATTCCTGGTCCCCGGGACAGTTTGTTCGGGTATGTCCCAGGCCATGTCCCTGGTGGCTTGGCAACATTTATGTGCCTAGCGGTGAGCTCAGGACCTCTGGAGGTGAGAGCAAGTACGCTGGATTAGCCAGACCAGACTAGGTGGGCAGACCATGGCTCAAGCTATGGACATCAAGAAACAGTTATACCCAAGGCGAACTCAGTACGGAGAGTACGGAGAGCCACCAGCGGACCTGCCCCCTGCCGCTCTCATTTGCGTGGTGCCTGACTCCTGGCCTGCCCTGCCGGGAGCTGGCTGTCCTTGGGTTCTCCTCCGCTTGTGCCCACATGGAACTCAGTGGCCTCAGCCTGGCTCCTGGGGGGGGGGCTGCAGTGGGTGAGCCACCCCCACACTTCTCCATCCACACCACTTGTTCCCCTTTTGCCTTTGGTTAAAGCCTGGGGTGAGGAAGTCCGTCTGACTTCTCACGGGAGCTCTTGGGGCTCCTCCTCCCTGCACCAGACCCCCACCCCCCCACCTCCAGCTACTTCAGGACAGTGCTCTCACCAGCTCCCCCAATTGTCACCCCCAGGACTAATGATCCAACTCTCAGGCCAGAGGAGGGTCCCGTTTGGCAGTCTGCCACCGTGGTTAGCACACCCGTCTCCTCGCCTGCTGCTCTGCCCATAGCGTCCCTTACTTCCTCGTTGATCACCTGGATACTGGCTAGTATACCCCTCTGCAGGGGGGAGGCTGGTAGGGAAGTATGAGCCTAGGCAGGATGGGGGCTCCACGCTCACTGCCCGCCCTCTGAGCCACGGGCCCTGAGACCTAAGCCCCATGTTCAAATCCGATTCCTTATCCTCTAGGTGCGTTAGCCCTTTGCCTCTGCCAATCCCTGCCTCGGTTCCTCCATCCTCGGAGAGGTGGCTACTGAGACAGAGTAAGTCACATGACTTTGTGTGCTAAGGATGGGCCAGGCTTCTGGGGGGGGGATAGGAGACAACAGCCCAGGTGCCTCTGGGCTAGGGAAGGTTCGGGAAGTGCATGGTACCCCCTCCCCCGCCTCACCTTTGTCTGAGAGCTGGGCATCCTCCTCCAGGTCCTGAGGCAGTGAGAGCTTCCAGACAGAGACATGCCACCCAGTTAGGCCATGCTACAAGCCACCATTGTTCTTCCAGGACTAGATAGACGTGGCCGACCCCACTGCCCACTTGACTTCAGCTCCTCAGCTGGTACAGCCATCACTGTCACCCCCTCTGCACAGAGATCCTGAGGGACTCAGTGCCAGCCAGGCCAACAGGCAAAGGGAACCCTAGCAGAAGTTCCTGTCCTAAGAGGCCAGGCTGTGGGCATTGGACGCTGCATCACTTTGCTCACAAACAAAGGCCTCGGGGTTTGGCCGGCACTCTTCCCTCTATCCAACCCAAAATGGGGGAGAAGGGACAGCCCAGCTCGGGTGAACAGGACCATGTGGGGTCAGAGGGAGGTTGCAGGCCAGGGAGAGGCCCACTCTGTGCCCACCCATTGGGTCACACTCACCTCCTGGGAGTTCCTGGGTGAAGTGTCCTCCAGGTCAGAGCTCTGTGGCCACAGAAAAGGGGATTGGTCAGTGGGCTACAGGGTTCTAAGCACCTGGGCAGGGGGTGTGCATGGCATGGTGAGGGCCCCAACCTCTAGGCAGGCCCTGCATGCATCTCAGCCATGCCAACACATCTCTTCAGGACCCTGCCCGAACATCTGCCTTTCTTAATTCTACTCTGCCAAGCCACCTGAAGGTTACTCCTTGGTCAAGGCCACTGTCCTACGCGCTGACTGGACCTTGAGTTGCATGTGTGTCTATCATCGACATGAGGAGCGCCAAAGAGGAAAAAAGAACTCAGGAAGGCCCAGGCATTTTTGGAAGCCACAAGCAGGTCACCAGTCATGCCAGGCTAGGAATGGGGATGCCCCTAGGCTGCATGATCCCTCTTGTAAATCTTTTTTTTTTTTTAAGATTTATTTATTATGTATACAGTATTCTGCCTGCATGCCAGAAGAGGGCGCCAGATCTCATTACAGATGGTTGTGAGCCACCATGTGGTTGCTGGGAACTGAACTCAGGACCTCTGGAAGAGAAGTCAGTGCTCTTAACCTCTGAGCCATCTCTCCAGCCCCCCGGAATCCTGCCCTGGCCCCGTGTCCCCCCCAGCTCACTCACTTCTCAGACCACCCAAGAGAGAGCAGACACAAACACCTACCAGGATGAGCATGTCCAGCTGCTGCTGCTTGAGTCTGCCCTCAGCGGCCACCAACCGGCCCTCGCTCTGGAACAACTGCAGCTGCAACTCGTCTGCCTTCTCACTCAGCTCTCGAACCTGCTTCCGAAGCTCATCTTTGTCCTGAAAGCTCTGGGCACACTGTGCATGCAGCTCCTCCCTCGAGGCCATTGCCTGTGGGGACCCTCAGTTAGAGACCTGGTTGGTGTGCTCTTGCACCCCAGCCTCTACTAAAGGTCCTGAGTGGATGTTTGCCACCCTGCTGTGCAGTTGGAGTTGCTGGACTGGAGGGATTCTCAAAGCAGTCAGGGCTCTCGGTATAAAAGAACAGACTGGGTGGGATGGCACATGCCCAGCATCCGGGAAGCAGAAGCAGGAGCAGTAGCTCAAGATCGTGTTTGGACGTACTTTGAGTTTGAGGACAGGCCACATAAGACACTATCTCAGAACAATCAAAAATAAATAAAATTAATCTAAAAGAAAAACTCCACAAAGAAGCAGCTGAAATTGCCATAACCAACACTCAAGGTAGTTCCTAGGGAAGTCCAACCAAGAAGTCAAAAATTCCTAGTGGATAGTCAGTATGTGTCTCTGTCCCACCCATGTTTTCAAGTTCTGGATACAGTTTGACATCAAGAACATGATCACTGGGCGGTGGTGGCACACGCCTTTAAGCCCAGAACTCGGCTGGTCTACAAAGTGAGTTCCAGGACAGCCAAGATTACACAGAGAAAACCTGTCTCAAAACAAAACCAAACCCAAAAAACAACAAAGAAGAACATGATTGATAGCTGTTCTTAAAATGAACACTATGCTTTTTCTTTTGTTTCCTTGGATACAGTTTCAGTCATTTCCCAAGCTGGCCTAAAATCTACTATGTATCTGAGGATGGCCTTGAATTTCTGATCCTTCTGCCTCTATCTCCAAAGCCTGGGATTACAGGCATGTGCCACCAAAGTTGGCTCAGTTGCTACTACCTTGCTTTCGGTTTTTTGAGACAGAAAGTCCACCGTTGTAGCCCAAACTGGCTTGGAACTCGCTGTGTAATCCAGGCTGACCTTGACTTCACAGTAGTTATTTTGTCTCAGCCTCCACATGCTGGGAATACAGGTATGAGCTACCATGACTAGTACCTCAGCCTATACTAGGGGGCTACCACCAGCTCTTCTACCCAACGCCCTGCCCTCCACCCCCCACCTGTGCAGCTCGCAACTTCCTCTCCTCTGTCGAAGTTTCCAACCCTGACCACCTTCCCCTAACCAGCACAGGGTGCCACTGGGACTCCCCTACTACACCAGCCCTTCCTATGAGAGAGGTAGATGTTCTTGTCTTTGTACAAGAGGCTCCAGGTTCTAGCTTTTAACATTGCCAAGTTACCTCAGGCACAGATAGATAGATAGATAGATAGATAGATAGATAGATAGATAGATAGATAGATAGACAGACAGACAGACAGACAGACAGATAGAGATAATGAGTTGGCCACAGCTCTAAAAGTGTCTACACTGGCACTCCAACACCCCTCTCTGGTTCTCATCTTCCGAACACAAATGCGGCACCTACCTGGTCCCGTTCAATGGAGACTTCCTCCATCTGCTGCAGGATAGCCTCGATCCGGTCCTTGTACATCCTGGCATCCTTGCGCAAGGCCTGGCACTGCAGCTCGAATGTCTCCCTCTCCTCCATGCACTGCAGGAAGCTCGGCTCAGCCTCACCCACTCTCCACTGCTCACCTGGCCCCTGGGCTGGACTCAGGGCAACAGCTTCAGAGCACACAAGATCGGGCTAGCCGGGAAGATGGCCAGGGCCCTGGAATCCCAGGCCGCACACAGCAGGCTAGCCCGGTCTGAGACCATGGCCTCAGCCACCACTGGTCACATTGTAAACGGAAAGGGTGACCCTAGCTGTGGGCATGACACCACTGTGCACCAGGAATCGGTGAAGGGGAGACAGTGGGCTACATCCCAGACCCTCCCTTCCAGATACCCAGCGGGTGCTGCTCGTCCGCCCTGGCCTCTCACCCGGGCGCGCAGGGTCTCAGCCTGGCGGAGGTCCTTGCGTAGGGAGAAGATGGTGCTGGCCTGCTCTTGGTGCTCTTTCAGTGCCTGGCGCCAGTCCTCCTCCAGCACCTGAATGTAGGGGCTGCTCCTGTCCAGCTTCCCCTCCTGCACGTGGCAGAGGACAGCAAGGCTGGCCACCGCAGTTGCACCGGCCGGTGTGCCGAGCTCGAAGCCCCCGCCGCAGCAGTGGGACCTGGTGCGCACCGCCGCCGGTAGCCCTACCTGTACAGAGACCTCCAGCTCCTGCACCCGCGCCTGCAGCAAGGCCTTTTCCTGCTGTAGTTCCCACATCAGCTCCTGGCTAGGCCGCTGCTCCATGGCGTGCCTGAGCTTCAGTGTGTGTTTTCGCTCCACCTTGCAATCATCCTCGGCCTTCATGAGGCTGTGCCTGAGTCGGTCCACCTGTGGGTGGTCCAGTCAGCGGCGGGCGGCCTCCTCCAGACCCCACCCCACCCCCGCTGGTGGGACGAGCGATCACCTCGAGCTGCAGGTCCCGGTTCCGCATGAGCGCCGAGCCCTTCTCCTCACTCAGACACGCGAGGCGCATGGCCAGGCCGTAGTTCTCATCCTTGCAGCGCTTCAGCTCCCGGCTGCTCAGCTCGCACTCTTCCTTGAGGCGCTGCACACGCTCCTGGTGCTTGCGCAGTAGACTGTCCTTCACCCGCAGCTCCTTGATGAAGTCGTCCTTGGAGCTCAGAAGCGCCGTCAGGTCCTGCACCTTCTTCTGCAGCTTCATGACCTCTGTCATCAGCAGCTGCGTCAGGCCTGACTCCCCTGATGCATCTGGGGACCATGCAGTGTCAGATGGGGCCTGTGGCTGCCACCTGCGGACTGCGGACCCTGGGCTTGTCCGTGTCCAGAAGTACGTGCTTGAAGACCAGCAGTTTGAGGGGCAGAGGGAATACTACTGGTCTTCCACAGAGAGAAAGCTGGTGGGCAGGCAGGCTCACTTGGGACTGTGTTCAGGAGGCCCGTCTGCCTTGCTGCCCCTCACAGATGAACTTACAGAGATTCTAACTCGTCACCCAGGACCATTCTCACGCCAGGACTCCAGTTGGCCCTGTCTCTTTTTATGTCTCCTCGAGACAAGGTCTCACTGTGTAGTCCAGGGTGGCCTCTAACCCAGAGATCTGCCTGCCTCTGCCTAGGATTAAAGGTGCATGCCACCATGCCTGGCCCTCTGTCCACTTTTATAATGATCTTCATGAGATGAATGAGGACTGATAGGGTTGTGGCTACTCCATCAGGAGAGGACACCTCTGTCCCCTCTGGAAACTGTAGGATTCTGTCCTTAAGTGATAACTGGGCCCCAAGGAATTGACACTTTACAGAGGGGGGTCACTGCTTCTTAGTGGGAGTAGGAAAAGCACAGAAGGGAGCCCTTGACCCTGAGCACCTGAGAGTCGTCACTGATACCGCTACCCTGATATGCACCATAGGGCTTGTGTCAGGCTCATTCACTCTGATGGAATCGCAGAAGCCAGGACCTGGTGGCACCCGGCTCCACCCACAGCACCAACCCACTCGAGTGCCTCTCACCAATGATCATGGAGAAGACACGTGCTGGCTCCTTGCCCGTGACTTTCCTGTATAACTGAGGGTAGTAGAGTTCCAGACTCTCAAGGAAGGCTACATAGCCCTTGTGGCCTGTCCGCTGCAGGATGTCCAGGAGCACACCTACAGGTGGAAGAGACTGCGTTGAGGCCAAGGTCTGGGTATGCAGAGGCTCTGGGGCCCAGGCGGGACGGTGGATGACTGCTCTGCGTAGAGTCGCCAAGCTGTGGGCCACCCACCCCTCACTTCTGACTGCTCTGCGTAGAGTCGCCAAGCTGTGGGCTCCCCACCCCTCACTTCAGGGCCCTTCCTAGCAGAGGGATCTGAGCCATTGCCTAAGGCATCCTGCAGGTCTCAGTCAAGGCAGAGCAAGGTGACTCTGTCACGGCCTGAACAAGGGTAGGAACTCCCCGTCCCTCCTCTGGGCAGCAGCAGGCAGACATGACAAGAGGAGGCTCTCACGCTTACATCCTACGTGGAGATGGAGCTGGGTGGGGGCAAGACCAGGGTGGCAGAGCGGGTAGCAGCCTCTGGCCAGGTGTCTGTGGGGATCACGAGGGACTAGGGACTGCCCTGCTGGTGTGGGAGCAGCCCTCACCCACTTTCCGCTTGCGGATGACCAGGTTGGGGTCACTGAGCACCTGCTCCTCGTCATCGGGGTTCAGGACTTTGCACTGGCGCAGATAAGGTGTGATTCGTGAGGGGTCAATAACAGAGATGAGCTTCACCCGGAAGCTCTCCAGGGCACTCCAGCACTCGTCGTCATTCTCATAGTCTGACATGTCCTCTGTAGGCTGTGGTCACAGTTAGGGGACAGCAGCTCAGGAAGCGCCCACCTTCTGTTCCCTACTGGGTCTGGAGCCGTCAGCCTACAATAGGACCCAAGCCTGTGAGCGCCAGGTCAGGGCATTGGGCAGGGACATAAGGGACTCACTCTGGGGAAATTTGAGGGGTCAACCTCATCTTAGTTCCACCGATTCTGAGGGATAACAGAGGTGCACTCATAGCCCCTCCTCATGCCACCCTGTCAAGCTCATCTTCCCCAAGCTTTCTTCCTGAGTCACCCGGATGTCAGGGAAAGGACAGGACGGGGTCTAAGAGCGCACTCCTTGTACAATGGCCCCCCCTTAGCTTCTGCCCTTTACCCTAAAGTGCTCTTGAAGCCCCTGAAGGTAGATGAATGTAAGGAGCTTTTGCCATTAGTAGCCATCCTACATGGAACCTCCTTGGGTGGCGTAGGCTCTGGCTGGCTAGTGTCCAGGTTGGGATTGAGAGCCTGGTTGGCTGGAGGCATTCTCACTCTGCCAGGGAGTCAGTCCTATATGTGACTTCCTCATTCTCTGATGGCCCCGTGTCCTTCAAGCCTTCCGTTGTAGCCAGCAGTGATGCAACAGCCCTCTGGCAGCTGCCTGTGGCATGGTGCTATTCTGGGAGGGCAAGTGAGGGTTGGCCATAGGAGCATGTCTTATCTCCTTGCCAGGCTGGGGTACCCTGGAAGGGCAGGCAATGTCATCCACAGTCTCCAGACTTCTGCTGTGACTCCCCTCCAGTTTTCCAGGAGCTGGGTACCGGCAAACCCTGTGCTTTTCTGCTCCAGATGCGTTCTGGCCTCTGGCCACATGCTGGAGATCGGTCAGGCCAGTTGTTGACGGGGGACTACTCACGTGGGGACTACCCACTCCTTCTACCCGTGGACAGGTGAAGTCTTAGTGAGTGGCTTCAATGACTCTAGGACTGAATTAAAGTGACCATAGAGAGTCCGTAGCCCAGTCTCCAGCCCGTAAAGAACGCTGGGACCCTGACCAGAGAAGCTGCCGTCTAGACACGGCCCTGGCAGGGTTACTCTTCAGCAGCCCTTCTCAGCGCCCTGCGGCGCCTTCCTGCTGACCCAGTGGACAGTCCTCAGGACCTTGGGCCCATTGCCTGCCATTCTGGCCCCACAGCCACACAGTCCCGGCTCTGGAGGACTACGCTGCAATGAACAAGGATTAGTCACATAAAGGGTTGAGAATGGAGGCCACCTGGCTGTAGGCGCTGACTGACTCCCGCTCTGGGGTACCTGCTCCAGGATCCCCAGAGTCACCACAAGCTTCCACCCACCTTCCAGGAAGGGTCTGCTAACTGGACTTACCTCAGGGTCTTGTGGGAGCCAGCTGCCAGCTGGAGGCTGCCCGGGCTATGAGCACACCAGAAACTGGGTCTCTGGGAGTGTGGAGATGCTCCTTGACTGAAGGGTGGAGCCATGAGGGAGGCTGTGCACTTCCTGGTGTGTTCTGGCTGACGGCACAGGCCAGCCAGCCCTCCCACAGTCCAGCCCTTGCTGGTCTACCTTCTGATTGGCCCAACAAGGAAGAGAACAGAGGGAAGCAGAAGTGCTCTGGGAACTAAGGAACCCTCCCTGTCTACCCATAAGCCTAGGACTAGGGGCCTGGAGGACAGAGAATCTGAACGTCTGGCGCTATGGATGGGTGGTCCAAGGCCCTTCTGCGTCCAGGCTTCTGAAAGCTGCTTTTCTAGCGTGGCGCTGTGTCTCATGCCTTCACCTACCAACTAGGGACAGTGGTACAGTGTAGGTGCAGCAGGACATGGTCAGGACTACAGGGTAAAGGGTTTAGCTACGATCCTGAGCTCACGGGCTCTGGCCACACCAAAGCTGACAGCCCACACACTCAGTAGAGATACAGTGCCCTTCCTATCCATCATTAGATCACCCTGTACTTCACTCTCCTCCAGGCCATGGGGTCAACTCAGAGCTAGTCCAGGGGTTGCAGAGCCAGTCTGGGCAGCAGGACAAAGCTTGGTGCTATAGACAAAACAGGCTATAGGCAGTTAGAGTCCTCTATGAACTGTGTGCCACAGCCTCTACGTCAGGGTGGCCCTTCGAGTCGGCCTGAGATGGGTGTGGGGACCTGCCAGCCCTGCCCAGCCAGTGAAGCTGTTTGACAGGCGCTGTTGCCTGGCCTTCTGGATGAAGCTGGGGCAAAAGCTCCCAGGGCTGTCGTGGGAAGGGTAGGAAGCTTACACAGAGCAGTGCCCCAGCGGGTCCCTTCCTTTGCAGCTTCTGCTGGCTCCTATGGGGACAGTGGCCCAGAACTCCCAGAAGCAGGCAGTTAGGGGTCCTCTTTAGCCTTTGGGAGCCACACTGCTAGGGATTGTGCTTTGCCTGGGTTTTCTGGATGGCAGAGGGGTTCATGCCTTTGCAGTCACCCCAGGAAAGCCAGCACCAGGCCTTCAAGGCCCTATTACCAACAGTAAAAACACAGATCACGGCCGGGCGGTGGTGGCGCATGCCTTTAATCCCAGCACTCGGGAGGCAGAGGCAGGCGGATCTCTGTGAGTTCGAGGCCAGCCTGGTCTACAAGAGCTAGTTCCAGGACAGCCTCCAAAGCCACAGAGAAACCCTGTCTCAAAAAACCAAAAACCAAACAAACAAACAAACAAAAAAATAGATCATGGTGTCCTCTTAAAGTGTTAATACAAATGTCAAGCTCCCAGTCATAGAGCTGAGATAGGAATCAATAGCACCAAGACACCTGAAAATCTCCGAATCCGGCAGAGTGAAGAAATCTAATGTGGAGGTTAGAGGAGCCGCTAGAGAGGCTGGGCCTGCTGCATGATGTGCTTTATCAGCCTGCAAGCACAGCTTGTGGTTTGTGAATGATGAGCCACCTGCTGGGCTGAAAGGTGACCACCTGTTGACAGCACCAGGACTAGGTTGGTCACATTGACCCTTTTTCTCTGCTTTGGAAATTTCCCACAACAGAGGGTAAAACCCATGTAAGGACCAAATTCTGGAGAGCCAAGGGGTCTGGGACTCCCAGAGAATCTGGTATAATAGTGACTAAGGGAGAGGCAAGTCTCAGTCGGGCCTTGGTTCCATGCCAAAGGCATGCCTACCACCGTGAGGGGAGCGGCTATTGTGGTGACGCTGGTTCAGGGACCTTGCCTGCTGACTTTTTCATGAGATGGGAAGAAGAGTTGTTTCTCCATTCTCTCTGCTCTCTGGGTCTAGGGACTGCATGGGCAGCCAAGGATATGGGAGGCTCTCAGGACTGGCAGACAACCACATCCCCAGATGCTGGTGTGTACCCAGTACCAGAAGACAAAACCACAAAAGGCTGTGCATTGCTTTTAAAGTAAAAAATAGACATTTCCTTTATTCCTTCAACTATGTGAATTTGCATTTTGTAACAGTTAAGCCTGTCATCACATGGTCACTGCTAGCAGAGTCCCTGCTGCTTGCTGCAGACAGGTTAGTCTGAAGGGCTGCAGCTTCCTGGCCTCCGCTTCCTCTTGCAGAGGGCTGTGGGCTTCTGGCCAGGCCTGGGCTCTGCCTCCCGCCTGGTGTAAGAGTGGGTTTCTGGACCCCTTGAGTCCTTGTCCTGAAACACAGGGGTACCCCTTGGTAGTGTTTTTACCCCAGCAGGCCCCAGCACCGAGACAGACCCCGCAGATGGCGCTGCTGAAGAGCAGGGACTAAGCTGGCACTGAAATGTGAGGACAGACGGTACGATTCATGGTGTCTTCACAAGCCAACTAGAGCGTCCTGGACACCGACCCTCACGGTTCCATCCCCTTCCTTGCTTACCCTGACCTGAGCCCAGGGACTCAGCAAGGAAAGCAGGTACAGCCTGGGGTCTGTGGTCAGGGGGATCACACAGGTAACTATGTTCATGGGCTGCATGTGCCACCCCAGAAAAGCAGTTAGAGGGAGCTTCTGAGGAGCTGGTACCCCAGGATGGGAGGGGATAAAACTCAGGCACAGGGGAGTAGTGCCAAGGACTAAAGACATGCTGGGCAACATGGGGCTCCAGGTAGGGGCGGACAGAGGATCAGGGGCATTACGCATTCCAAAAGTGCCTTATTAGCCTTGCCCTGTCCGCGTAAGTCAGCCTTCAGACTCGATACCACTCTCCCCTCCTCAGCTTAGCTGTTCCCAGAGCAGGCAGAGGAAGCCCATGTTCTGGACTGTGCCTCTTCCTGGTTGCAGGGTGGCAGCCTCCACATGGACTCACCTTGCTGCTCATCGCAGCCTCCGTTTCCGGGAATGCCGAGCGTGCCGAGTCCTGAGCACGTCAAGGTCATCGGAAGCATCCAGGTGGGAGGGGGCAGAATCCTCACCAGGACCTGGAGCTCTCTGAAACAATGAAAGGCCGGGTCAGGGAAGACTAGTGACTCCAGTCAGAATCGGCAGGGGACGGGAAAGGGAGGACTGAGGACAGCCCCCACTAGCACCCCAGCCCTCGCACATGCTTCCCCAGAACAGGCTAGCACATGCTTCCCAGAACAGGCACGTGAGAGCAGCTAGGTCCTAGCTTTTTGCAGCTTTGCCCCTCGGGTAGGGTCTCCAGCCATTAGGCAATTCCATGATAACCACTGTCCTACTCTGAGGTGCAGGCCAATGGAGACAGAGACAAGACTATACCCTAGAGATTCTCAGGTCACCCTGGAACTAGGGTAGCACAACCAGGAATGGAGTGACAGTGGTGTGAAGGGTCCGTATATCTAACCCTCGCAGGGGAAGAGGCGTGGTAGGGCTCCCTGGGAGCAGCCAGGGAGGGGAGGGAAATGGGTCCACACATTTTGCCCCTAGGTTCCTATGGGAACAGACTGTCTTGCCAGGCCAGCTCTCCGTGAGCAAGAGATGCCTGGGAGTAATTCTGTACCCATGAGAGCACGAACAGGGGCAACTACTCCCTCCACTGCACCAGGCCCCGCCCCCACACCCCAGGATCATGTGTCAGGCCTGCCTCTCTACCTTGAGTTTGGGTATGTGGTATGTGCGTGGGGTGGGGCTACGTCACAGCAGAAGGCTGTCTCCCTGTTCTGCTACAGCCAGCCCAGGAGAGGCAACTTCTTCTACGAAGCCCTTTCCCAACTGGGCAGACTGGACACGCTTCCTCCTCCTCCAGAAACCCACAGAGTGCTCCCTTGCCCAACTTCCACCTGCCTAGCTCACCACTCCCAGCAAGCCAGACACACAGGCAGGCAAGGCCCTGCAGGCCTTAGCTTGTCACAGCATCCTTACCTGCTCAGGGTCTGCAGCTGCTGGGCTTGCTTGTACTCTGCAGCCCAGACAGTCCAACTGCCTGGCCCTGTCCTTGAGTTCCTGGTCACCGAGGAGGTCTTCACTGTCACTTTCAGAACCAACAGCCATGGCTGCCGACAGGGTAGTGGGGACACTGTTGGGTGGCAGAGTGGCCAGGAGTGCAGGAAGGGAGAAGATAGCCAGGAAACGTGTCTTTAGCAAGAGGTAGGCTGGGTTGTCCTGGAACTGCCTCTGTACCAGCCCCAAGGAAGTTTGTAGGGCTCCAGACTTGGGCTCAGGTTGGGACCCAGCTGCCTGGCTGTCCACCAGAGAGGAAGCTTTCTGCTCCAAGTCCTTTTTATGGAGGAGAAGGCTGGACAATGCTCGCAAGTTGCACAGAGAAGGGGGCTGATAGGGCATCCTGCTCCCTAGTGGGGGTACACAAGCACCTTGGCACCCCTTCAGCCAGGCCAGTGTGGCGGCCTCGCTTTCCTGGGAAAGTAGGCTTAGGTCCAAGGCCTTCTTTTCGGGTCCAGATGCGGCTGGTATTTCCTGGCCCTGAGGACCTTTGGGCGCTGTGTTTGTACTGGCTAGAAGCTGTCCCACGCGAGCAGGAGTCGTGGCAGAGGAAGGTAGCTGCTTTGCTGGTGGTCCTATGGTGTCAGGGGTCATCACCGGCTGGGTGAGGCCCACGGCTTGCACTGGGACAGACAGCAGTTTCTGAGTTGTGAGCACCCAGTTGATAGGCAGGCTGGCCTTGGCTGCCTGGGGCTGCCCACTGGCCTGTGGGCCAAGAGCTGGCGGTAGACTGAGGGGCTGCACAGGCAGCTGAGTGGGGCTGGGGACTGCTGGGAGAAGGGGCAGAACCTTGGGCAAGCCCGGCTGGGATGCGACAGAGGCCTGAGACTGCCCTAGAGTACTCAGAGGGCAGGCTGGGGGGACCTGTCTGGGAGCCAGGGCCAGACTCCTAAAAGCAGCAGGGGTTGCAATCTGGGTCCCTTCGTGGGAAGGATTTAGGGGAATGGTTTGCCGGATGGGGGGCTGCTTGTCTGTGGCTGACATCGCAGCCACCTGCCAGGAGCCAGAAGGACTTGAACTGACCATCACTGGGGCCACAGGGACAGAGAGCTCTACACTGGATGTTGTAGGGCCTGCTACTGGGGAGCCCTGGGGGGCTGGAAGCAGAGGGGGCTGGAGGATCACAGGTGAGGAGATCAGCAACTGGCCGTTGACGGCAGTGAGGGCCTGCGTAGCCTTCTTAGCACGAGACTCACGGAGCCGTTTCTCACGAAGCAGCTCAGACACAGTCTTGGGCTTTGGCCGGGGGCCACCTGGGGCTGCTACAGGAACTTGGAACGAGGTAGCTTCAGTACCGCACGTTCCCAGCCGGGTACGTCCTTTGTGGCTGTCTCTCTTTGTAGTTTGCTGACCCGGCATGCTTGGGAGGAGGCAGCCTAGAGCAAGAGACAACTAGCTTGACAAGAACTTCAGGCTCTTTGCCCACGGACACCAGCAAACCCATGTGTGAAGCTTTAGCTTACCTCATGGGTCCCCAACCTAGGCACTCTGTTCACAGAGAGGGCAGCAGATGGCAGAGACAGCCCAGTCTACATCTAACAAGCTGTGAGGGCCTGGCTCCTAACCCTCTAGCATCCTCAAAACTCAGGTGACACAACATGGTGCCTCGAGCCCTCAGTGGCTGCCCAAATAGTTGCAGGCCCTTCTAGCCTATTCTCGGGTCACTGGCTGTGCTGCTAGAGGCTGTGGCTCAAATGCAGGGCATTTCCCACCATAAGAGAGAAAGATGTGGCAGATGGTACCTGTGCTGTTCTTGGCACTGGAGAATGCCTGTGAAGAGAGAGTCAGCCTGTAGAATCTTTGCGGGATCCCCTGGTTCTTCCCACTCACCGCCCACTCCGACTCTGGGGGCCTCCCATATGCACTGAGCGCAGGGTCCGGACAATTCCTGCTGGTATAGGCTTCCAGCAAAGCTCCACTAAAGCTACCTGGCCAGAGCTCGTCAAGTCTTGGACAGTGTGGGGCTCATGGGCTACGGGCACCAGAGTTCTATTTTGGTTCACTGTCTCCCTAAGTGATAGGATTCCAGGGTGAAGTCTCCCCCAAACAGAACTCATGAGTTTGGTTCCTAGAACAGGTGGTGTTAGTGACTTGCAGAGACCAGGCCTTGCAAATGGCAAGCCTACCCATAGCCTACCTTGCACCTGCCTCAGACTACTCAGGTCTCCTGTAGGGTGGCTCACACAGATACCACCCTAGAGAAGGTATGGTAAGGGATGTTCTGAGGGAGAGCCAACTTTTCTATGGAAATGCCTGGGAACTGCCCCTCCGAGGAAGGGTTGACACTGAACCTGGGGAAGGGATGGGGGAGGATGAACAGTATTTGTTCTCACTCCCTTTTTTGAGATAAGGTCTCATTATGTAGCCTGCCTGGCCTAAAACTTGCTCTGCAGACCAGGTTGGCTTTGAACTCACAGAGATCCGCCTGTTTCTGCCTTCTGAGTGCTGGGATTAAAGGAGTATGCCCCCATACCCAGTGTGACCTTCTTGTTCCCAGTGTCTGTTACCTGCAGAAGATGCGGTTGGGGGTTCTGCGTGCCAGGCTGGAGCAGGGCAGGTGGCTTGGCCTTCCTCTCTCGGACCACCTCCATGCAGCCCGCAGTATCAATCTGCAAGAGCTGAGAGGCCTGAGAATAAGAACCTCCCTGTTCCACCCCGCACTGGGGTCAGGCCCACCGATGGTCAAGGAGATGGAAAGCTGCCCTGACCATGGCTGTTCAGGAGCAGATCCAAACTCCTCAAGCCTCTGAGGGTCCAGGGAGGTCAGGACAGCTTTGCAGCCTCCAGCCTGGACTTGGGCTCCATGCATGCTTCTTCACCAGAGCAGACGAGAGCAGACAGCAGCCTGCGGGGGCTTACCTGAATAAGCAGTGTGAAGACTGGAGTGCTGGTCAGGCGGGCACACTCTAATTGCGTCCTGATGCTGTCAGCTAGAGAGCAAGGGCAGAGCACAAAGGGGCTCCAGTTTTGAAGCTCCCCGAGACAGTCTGGGGCAGGGCAGCCTTAGCTCCACATTACCTTGAAGAGCAGATGGCAGGGCCCCCTAAGCCTCTCCCCACCACCCCAAACCCAGCTGGACTCCTTCGCGGCTTCACCTCTCCAAAGAACCCCAATCAGGCCACTCCCCCATGCTCACCGTGCCACAAGGAGAAGCAATTCCACTGTTTGCTCCCACCCCAGCTCCAGAAAGCTCAAGAAGAGCCCTGGGCAGTACCTTGAGTTTGCACTACTGCAGGCCTCCTAGGAGCTTGTGTGCAGGACAGGTTGATATCACCCACCCAGGGTATCACAGCCAGCAGAAGCCTGTGCTTAAGGAGCCTGCGGTGAAGAGCCTGTCGCTTGCGTCTCAGCTTATACTGGAAAGTTCCATGCCACAGCCGCCGCAGATGGGGCACACTGTCACCAGGGTCAGACTCTGAGTGTGAATTAGGCAGGGGTGGCTGCCTCGGTCCTTCCTTCAGCAGGGTGTGGCTCTGGGTGGCTGGGCGGGTCCTGATCAACTTCAGCATTTTCTCGAGGGGCACCTTCACCACATGCTGCATATCAAAAGAGAGCCTGTGAGGCTGACTGTGGCAGGACCTGGTGCAGATGTAACTGTTCTTTGTGAGACCACACAGCACACACCATGAGCACCACTTGCTATTTGGGAAAGTACTCTGTGGTAAGGCAAGTAAGTGGTCTTCAGGTTGGGCCTGGCTTAGCTCCCTCTCCAAGGGATGCTCTGGCCCACACAGCAGGCAGGACCATGGTTGAGCTGACTGGACCAGCCTTCTAGCAATACCTTGGGTAGGACGGCCTATGCGGCCCACAAGGCTGCCATAGGCACTGCAGAGCTGTGTCCTGCCCAGGCTCCAACTCTGAGGGCAGAGAGGGGACAGGTAGATACATATGACCAGACAAATTGGAGACACTGCACGAGGACACCTTGTGGACTCAGCAGTTGGAGGTGGGGAACTGCCCACTCAGGTGTGCCCTGAAACAGATGTCCTTGCAGCCTTTAAAGCAAATGACTTAGGGACAATGGAGGTTGCATTGTGAAGGCCACTGCTACCGCACAAGTCTGAAAGCAGCCCTAAGCAACACATTACAGTGAACAGGAGGACATGGCTGTAGCCAGATCAAAAACCAAATACCCAACTGTCCAGAGTGCCAGCATTAGTGAGCACTAGGAGCCCAGAGCACCCGCCTTGCTGGCTGGGTCCTCCTTACTTGTTATGTGAGTGTCTGGCGAGTGTAGGAACTGGACCCCTTAGAACAGCGCAGTGGGTTTACAGGGCATCTGCACCTGGCTTATCTGAGGAGTGGAGACGGTGGTGGGACCTTCCTTGTGGTGACTTTGAGTGGCGTCAAGAGTGCAGGAGACAGCACGGTGTGTCGAGGAGCACCCTGCCCCTTCTCTCTGTGACTGGCTGGTGACCGGCCTGGTAGGAACCCACAGGTCAATGTCTGGCACTCTGTACTGTTGAGGAACCAGTGCTCTGCCATGCTCCAGAGAATCTTCCGGCTCCACATCTGAGTCTTCGCTGCTGCTGCTGCCGCCGCCGCCATAGCCCTCACTGCCGTTGCTGTCGCTGCTGCTACTAGAGCTCCACTGGCTACTGTGATGGGGCCTCCGCCCCCGCCTCCTCTGGAGGCGCTGCTTCCTCTGAGGGGAGGGAAGGGCTGCTTCAGGTCTCAGCTACCCAGGCGCTGGAGACAAGCAAGCAGGCTAGCCTTAAGAACACCTCCAGGGGCTGCTGCTGGGGTGTGGCCTCCCCCTGTCCTGGGCCTCGTGAAAAGGGCGTGTATGGCGAGAACCTGTGCTCCCCCACCCCCACCCCGCACCTTGCCTAAGCACTCCCACAGGTATGGGCCTTCCGCCTGAGCAAAGCATACACAGAGCAAGCAAACACATGTCTCACCCTGGCCATTATTTTCCACTTGCTCAGACACTGGGAGCCTGACCGATGGGGCAGTTCAGAAGCTATTCTTGCCCAGTGACCTGCAAAAAACAACCACAATCCAGCCTCTGGAATTGAGGCTAAGTAGCCAGGATGGTCTTCCCTCAGGTGCTTGGCCAGAACACCTGTGTGTGGCAGCATCTGTATCTCAGGGCTGACCAACCCTTGAGGAAGTTCCGGCACACACAGGTAGGAAAGGAAAGTTGCTCCAGGCCCTGGTGTCTGTGCGGCAGAGGGACACCTGCAGGCTGCACTTATGGGGAAGTGTGACAACGGAAGATGCCCCAGAATCATAAGCTTTTTTCTGAGGTGGTATCACTAGTGTCAGCAAGATTTAGCTACAAACACTCGCTCACTACTGCCCTCTAGTAAAAAACTGGGAAATACTGGGTTGGAGAGGTTAAGAGCACTGACTGCTCTTCCAGAGGTCCTGAGTTCAATTCCCAGCAACCACATGTAATGAGATCTGGCGCCCTCTTCTGTCATGCAGGCATACATGAAGGCAGGACACTATGTATATAATAAATACATCTTTAAATAAAAATTTGCGAAATATTGAAAACACCAGTCACAAAAGATTTGACTGAACAGCCCAGAGGCTCCTCTGCACAGGACACCCCTGAAGCAGGACCAGGGTAGCACAGCTCTGACAGTGTTAGGTGACACAATGACTGTATGTATGTGAACATGAGCATGGAGGCCAGGGGTGAATCTTGGGTAATGCTCCTTAATGCTCTCCACCTTGTGTTTTATGTTTGTGTGTGTCATGTGACTTCCAGGATTAAAGGTCTGCACCATTCTGTCTGGCTTCCCAATTACTAGAGTGAATTTCCACTCATTTGTAATGGAGAGCATGGGGGAGCTTGGAGGCATGCTTGTGTAGCCAGAGTAAGGTCCTGGATTCCACCCTTGCACTGGCAGTAAAACAAAAGAGCATTTGCAATTGGGGAGACACTGCCACTTGTCAAGAATGAACACAAGGACAGCAGCCTGAGATATGAAAAAGTGCAGGTCTCCTAATGGGCTGCAAGAATTCACAGTACGCGTGGAGTCAGCGGCAGCGGGAAGGACAGTTCCCAACAACTCACCAGCACCATACTTCTCTATTAACTGGACAGCTCCCAACAACTCACCAACACCATACTTCTCTATTAACTGGGTCAACGGGAAGGACAGTTCCCAACAACTCACCAACACCATACTTCTCTATTAACTGGATCAGCTGCTGCTCTTCTTTTGCGTTCCACCGTCCCTTCTTCAAGCTAAAATGTAATCTCCTGATGTAGCTGAAATAGTGTGGAAGACAGGAGAGTTTAAGACCCCTCTGCTGCTCTTCTGCCTTCTCCAGTGATTGCTTAGAATGACACCATAGGCACATAAATAAATAAAAATAAAGGCAAGCTGGACTTAATTAAACATTTAAAAATTCTTATACTTTAGGGCAGTGGTTTTCAACCTTCCCAATGATGCGACCCTTTAATATAGTTCTTCATGGTATGGTGACTCCCAACCATAAAATTATTATTATTATTATTTTTGGTGTTTTGAGACAGGGTTTCTCTGTGGCTTTGGAGGCTGTCCTGGAACTAGCTCTTGTAGACCAGGTGGGTCTCCAATTCACAGAGATCCGCCTGCCTCTGCCTCCCGAGTGCTGGAATTAAAGGCATGTACCACCAAAATCCAACTCATAAAATTATTTTCTTTTTTTAAAATTTATTTTATATGCATTGATGGAAAGGTATCAGATCCCCTGGAGTTGGGAGTCACAGACAGTTCTGAGCTGCCATGTGGGTGCTGGGAATTGAACTTGGATCCTCTGGAAGAGCAGCAAGCGCTCTTAACCGCTGAGCCATCTCTCCAGTCCCATAAAATTATTTTCATTGCAGCCGGGCGTTGGTGGCGCACGCCTTTAATCCCAGCACTCGGGAGGCAGAGGCAGGCAGATCTCTGTGAGTTCGAGGCCAGCCTGGTCTACAAAGTGAGTTCCAGGACAGCCTCCAAAGCTACAGAGAAACCCTGTCTCAAAAAAAAAAAATTTATTTTCATTGCTACTTCATTAACTGTAATTTTGCTACTCTTATGAATTTTAAAGTAAATATCTGTGTTTTCCAATGGTCTTAGGTGACCCCTGCAAAAGTCATTCAACCCCCAAAAGGGTAATGAGCTACAGATTGAGAACCACTGCTTTGGTGGCTCTGGTAAAGAAGGTAAAGAAAGTCGAAACAAGCCATAGACTGTCATATCCATGCAAATCCTGCATCTGATAGGTGCACTTGCATCTGGAACACATAAAGAACCTTCACAGGTCAGTAATGCAAAGACAAATAATTTAAATCAGCAAGGGACTTTGGCAGATGTTTCTCCAAAGAGATGTACACGTGTAAGAAACCAGCAGGCGAAGCAAGGAGGCTTGGCAGGTAGTCCCAAGGGGCTGCTGTGAGACACTACTGTGAGAGTCTACTTCACAGGCACTTAGAGGGGTGCAGTCACAAGCAGAGACAGTCAGTGACAACAGAACAAATGCTGGGTGGGGTGGGGTGAACATGGAAAGCCTGAACCCTCACATGCTGCTTGTGGAAGCACAGAATAATAGTCACACTTGAATAAAGTCTGGCAGCTCCCCAAAAAGGCAAACACAAGAATCACCGACCCAGGGACATTCCTGAGAGAAATAAGCATGCCTTGATAAACACTTGTCCAAATGGTCTCAATGTTCAAGGCTCCTGTACCTTCTATCCAAATGTACGGAAACCCAGCATCTATCAGAATGCTCCTCCTTGCAAATGCCAGGACTCTAAATTTGTACCCCCATTTTCTTATTGACAATGAACAACGTTCGACAAACATTCTTAACCAGTACAAGAGTTCCTGCATGGGACACTTGAGTTTTGCAGGTAGAGACTACACTACACTATCCCGCATAATGCTGCCTCATGTCTGGTTTCTCGGAAGGCTGTACTCTGCTCCCCAGGAACACTTATTAGCATACTGTTGTTTTCTTTTTGTTTGTTTTAACAGCTGCTTGTACCCCTACATGTATGAAATACTTCACTGTGGTTTTGACTTGCATTCTTGAATTAGTGACTGAGCATCCTTCCATGGGTCTTTTGGCTATTTATGCATGTCTGGAGACATGTCTATTGACCTTTGCCTGTTTGAATGGGATTCTGTGGGGTTGCTGAGTGTAGATTGTAGGGTGATTTACATTAACAAGGTAAAGTGAAACACGTCTGAACAAACCACTGAAAGAAACTAGGGAGGAAGGGATAGAACCCTAGTAACCTGATGGGGACCTCCTCATCAAAATGTGGGAGGACATCAGCAAGAATTGCCACTAGCATTTGACACCTTGTGAACAAGAAATATGAAAGTTCAGCTTCCCAACAGTGCCAACCCTAGTATGCAAAGCTCCTGTAGACACAGCACTTTAGGGCCGCTGTCACCCAGCCTGCCTATAGAAGTGTGACTCAAGCAAGTCGCTCCTTCAGCCAGTGCGGGCAACTCACCGGTCTCTGCACTGGGCATCGCTCCTACCTGGCACCTCTTCCCGGATTTTAAACCAGTCCTGCGCCCCATACTTGGCAACAGCTCGAAGCAACTTCTGCAGAAAGAAGTGAACAAACAGACAATCCTCCACGGGATAGCCATTAGCTTCCCCACCCCGAGGTCTCTCAGCTTAAGAGGGCACATGACTGTACTAAGGACAGCCAGGCAAACTTCCTGGGTACAGTCTTCTCTGGGTGCCAGACTTACAGCATCTTCCTCTGGGGTCCAGAATCCCCTTTTCAGGTTAGGATCCAAACTCTTGGTCCAACGGTAGATCAGTTGCATGGAGTCTCTTCCTTCCATGAAGTAGACAACTGGGAACAGATAAGACTGGGACTCATCCATCTTATGCAGGCAATAAGCAGGCACAGAGGGGCCTCCCGGAAGCTATGGAGAGGAGTTACTCTGGTCATCAGGACTTCTCCCCCCTCCCACCTCTCCCTAGGACAGCTGTAAACTCTTCTACAAGTCTCTGTTTCTAGGCACCTAGGGCCTCAGACCACTAGGGCTTGGAGCAGCTCAAGGGCCTGGAAGATGCCGTTTGGTGTGGTGGGCTTACTCTTGCGGTATGGAATATGGTTCCCAACACGCATCTCCTGGACCAGCTGGGTGAGCATGTGGTCTTCCTCTTCTGTCCACTCTTTGCGTTTCAGGGCTTTGTTGTACTGCTGGAATTTCTGCAGGCACTGGAAGGCACTGCGGCTTGTCTTCCCAAGGCCAAACAGAAACAAATGGGCGTCACTGGGCTTCACCCTGCACATGCAGAGATACCCAGAGCAGCCCCCCAAGAGCTTCCAGGAGACAGGTGTTGCTAATCCCAGAACTTGGGAGTCTGACGCAGAAGTGCTATGAGTTTGAGGTCAGCATGGGCTACATTGTGAGCTTCGGGACAGCCTGGACTATAGAGTGAGACCCTATCTTAAACACAAACAAGAAAAATCCTTGTGACAGCTAACTCAGATGTCCAAACTACACTGCCAATTCCTAGACGGATGATAGGAGGTGCTGTGGAAATGCCTGTCAAAGCCTCTCACAGAATCTCTCTAGCTCTCAAGCTCTAAGGCAGGTTATTTAGAGACTTTGATGGGCCGGGATGAGGACCACACCTCAGGAAGGAACACCCTACAGGTAAGCCACAGCCACATGACACTGCTGCTGCACCTGCCCCGTCACTCATCCCCTCATGGAACGGCTTTTCTAGTAGACTCACTATCTGAGCCAGTCACAGGACTTATGGGGCTGGATGTGGTAGGTGCTCAGCTACGGTTTGCTTCCAGGCCTTTCCCCACAACAAATACCACGCAAAGAAAATGCAATAAATGGTCACATTTTCACCAGACAAGATGGAATTTAAAGTTAAAAAGGTAAAAGGGACAAATGAGTTTCTTCCTTCCCTCCTTTCTTTCTGGTTTTTCGAGACATGGTTTTCTCTGTGTAGCCTTGGCTGTCCTGGAGCTCGCTCTGTAGAACAGGCTGGCCTTGAACTCACTGAGATCCACCTGCCTCTGCCCGCCTCCAGAGTGCTGGGATTAAAAGTATGTGCCACCACCGCCTGGCTCAAATCTTTTTTTTTTTTAAAAAGATTTATTTATTTATTGTGTATACAGTGTTTTGCCTGCATGTATACTAGAAGAGGGCACCAGATCTCTTTACAGATGGTTGTGAGGCACCATGTGGTTGCTGGGAATTGAACTCAGGTCCTCTGGAAGAGCAGCCAGTGATCTTAACCTCTGAGCCATCTCTCCAGCCCTCAAATGACCTTCTTTAAAAGCACAATTTACCAAATAAATTATTTCCTAAAATTGTGTGTACCAAACTATACAGCATGGGACTGACCTCCACCCCAAGCCCAGAAAGAAGCCCATGTCCTCCCAGACTTCCAAGGTTCTCAGGTCCCGGTCCTTACCCCTAGCTCCTCTGCAACCAAATGCCACTCCAAGTGACCATGTGTGGCAGCAATGGCTTTCAGTCGCTCTACCTCCTCTGTGTTCCAGTCTTGCTTGTTGATACTCGGGTGCTCAGAACTCTGCCAGAACTTCTGGATCTCCTCGGCACTACGGCCTCCTTCAAACTGCACCCATGAGAAAGAACAGACTTCAGAGGGGCTGCTGATGCCAAGCATAGTCAAGACATAGCTCCTGGCTGGACTGTCACTGTCTGCCAGCCAGAGGCTTCTGTGTAGTCAAAAGGCACTGAAACTGTTCATCTCAGGAAGGGCACCTTGTTAGTTGGGGAGGGTGCCATGAAGTCCCTTGCAACTTCCAAAAGTGCTAGCATACTTGACTGGAGAGTTTATAGTGGGCTAAGACCCAAGTGAAGGTGAGGCTTAACCACCTAGTTCCAACCCACACTCGGCTTAGAAGTTCTACTGCAGCTGTGGGCGGGCACCCAGGCCTGCCTGACTTACATTGATGTTGGAAATCTTTTCCCAGTCATGGTGGTCCAGCCGGCTCCCCAGCAAAGCTTCCTCTGGCAGCTGGCTAAAGGAAAGGACAAGGAGCTGGTATCATGCGAAGCTTGCAGCTCTTCCCTGGATCCAGAAGGCCCCGGCTTACTTGATGTCCTGGATCTCTTTCTCTGCTTCCTTAATCTGCTTCTCCAGGGTCTGCCTCTCCAAGTCGCTGGAGACGCGGCTCTGTTTCTCGTGTAGGTACTCAAGCCTGCAAGGTAGACAGAGTGGAGCTGTGAGTGAGATGTACCATGTAAGCTGACGCCCTGTTCTCTGAATGCTCTTGTGCAAGTCTCTCAGCTCAAGGTTGGAAAACCTGCACAGGAATGTGCTTTCTTCCTCTCTTGCCTTGGTCCCTTACCACAAAGGAAGTCCTGTTACCACCTCTGGGGCACCCCTACCATCAGAATAGCACCATCTAGGGCAGGAGTTGCTGGGCTGTTTGCAGAGGCAGATGGTAACTGCTTGCATCCCAGAGCATGGCTCCTCTGCCAATCTTGGTTTCCAGGACACAGACATCTCAGGCAAGCCTGACTTAGTTCTGCAGCTACTGCTTCAGCAAACTGCAAGCAGAAGGGGTTGGGAGGGAAGAGCTGGCTCTCTCACACTTCAGGAAAAGCATCATTCTCTTCTCACCATCAGTATTGAGCACACAAGTCCAGAGGTGCCTCGTACCCCGTGGTCCAGTTCTAAGGGACGCATCTGCTCTGGTTACTCTATCCTTAACACTGTCAGCATCATGTGCTCACTTGGCCCTTTGTGATTACTCAGGCACAGCTGACACTCTGCCCCAGAGGACGTCTGTTTCCAGCCACTTATCAAAACAATAATGCCCTTCATTGTGCACTCACATCGGGTACTGCATGATGCCCTTTGGTCCCATGATAAGTACCCATCAACACACTCACAAAGCTGGTTTCACAGACAGGCCCAGAAACCCAGAAAAGAGTATTTGAGAAACTGCCTATGGCATGTAGCTGAACATGGATGCTCACTCTGACCCCCACGCTCTGCATTTGCCCACAACGCCGGGCCACCTTCTTCAGAGCAAAGGATAGACATCGACATCACAGTGCTGGAAGGGCAGCAGGAGAATGAAAAGACAGAGCATGCCACGATGAACCTCCCCAGCCCCACAGGAGCCTGGCTTTCATCTGTGGGGAAGGAAAGCTATGATGGCCCGTCTCTGGACTTACTTCAGCATCTTGGGCTGTAGTAGGCGTTGCAAGCGATCACTCACTACAGACTTCCTGAGCAAGGCTTTCTCCCAGTGCTTCCCTGAAGAGGAAAAAATAGTGATGTGATGTCATAAGACCTTGCCTGCTCCACAGACACACACGTCCACTGAATCCTCTCTACAATCCTAGCCCGCCCCCTGCTTCCTGCTCCAGAAAGGCCGTGGTTACATCTCTGGATGCCACTAGGGCAGCCAGCCAGAACACCTTCCAGCCCATAATTCCACCCTCCACCCAAAGTCTAGCTCAGAGTATCCTTTCAGGGTTAGGTGTTCTGAGAATAGCTAGAGTTGGAAAGGGCTGTGTGTATGGCCCAGCCTGCATCAACTCAGCACTGGAAAGGCAAAGGGTCAAGTTGCCAGTCCCAGTGATCAAGGCCTGCAGGAGCCTGTGAAGCCACAAGAGGGACAGGCATGAGAACCACAGGATATGCCTAGGAGAGGCCAGGCTGTGGGAATGCCCTCTGTGGTTTCTATGGCTACTGGATGCCCACCCAAAAGCCTGTCTGGACTCTTACACTTGGTCACCAAGAGCTGTTCAAAGGCCTTGATTCCCTGGGCAGCCTTCTCTCGTGTGTCTTCATTGGCAGGAGGCCCCTGTTAGAGTATACAGGGTCAGGACATGGCACACTAACCACACTCACCCTCAAGGGTCCCCACGGAGACTCAGAATCTTCCCTGCAGCCTCCCTACATGCTGCTCACATGCAGGGCCAGGCCCAGGATGTCTATATTGCAAGTTACTGCTGAATGAAAAACCCGTGGCTTGATCCCCCCAGCACAAGGAAGTAAGTAGCCAGAGACTCCATGAAGCTGGTAGACATGGGAGGTGATGAGCACTTTCAGATCTATTCTACTGACTTGCTAAATGCTGTAATTCTATTTTAGAGAAACACACCCCAGAGGGCAATGTCAGCTGGAGGCCTTGACCTTCGTTAAAGGATGAGGCAGTTTTAAGGAGGATAGAAAATGCTAACCCAAACATCCAAGGGAACTTACGAGCACTCACAACAGGCTGTGAAGAAGACAGCCCCTTCCTCCCAGGACATTCAACTTTGAGCTGCTAAAGAGGGGTCTTTACTACTTACCACTCCAGTGACCTTGTCCTTGAAGTATGGCTTCATGAAGTGGCCTATGTACATGTATGAGGGCAGGCTTTTGCCATCCTTCACCTTGGAGCATTTGGCCCCAGACAGATCAAACAGTATCTCCTCCTGGAACGAAAGCAAGGCTCTCAGTGGGCGGTGAACAGATCCACTCTGGGCCCTGTTCTGTGGGACACTGAGGGTCAGGAGTGGGCTACTGTACCTGCTGCTCCTGGTTCTGGGCTAGCAGCTGGCTGACCTCTGCCAGCTTCTCCCGAATCACCTCCTGGTAGACCATATTCAGCTGCAGACAGGTCTCAGGGTCTTCAGGAAGAGCTTTGTCCTTGGGGTCCTCCTCATCGTTGCTGGCCTCACTCCACCTTTCTTCTTCCTGGTTAGGAGCCACAATGGCAAATGAAGAGATAGCGACACCCTCCTTGTTGCCACACGCAGGCCCAAGCCCACAAGGGTCACTGAGACAGCCCTAGTACAAGCCCAACGAATGAGGAGGAGTTACACTTGGAAACGGAGCCCACCACCCTCAAGCCGGAGTGTGTGCATCTTTTCAGATCAACATGAGATCTGCTTGTGAAGCATATGCTGGGGTTGGAGGTGGGGGTCCCTGTACCATAGCAAGCAGCTTCTAATTTTGCAACAGACATTTCTGTGAAGCCTGAACTTCGCAGCAAGTTTGTTTTGTCCCCATCCTCAGCACCTCAAGTGTCAGAAATCAGTAAGGAAACTCCCTGAATAGCCTGGGAATGCCAAATGTCCAATGACTACAGAGCTGTGTCAGTCAGTCTATTGAAAAGAGAGTCCTTAAACACTAAGGGACTCGATTCTTGTTTGCTCAGTAAGGAAATAAGCAAACTATAAAGTTTCCCCCAAATAAAATGCCTAAAACAGTCAAAATAATGGCTAGCAACTCTGGTGTGAATAGATCTCTGCCAGGTGCTTCTCTAAGTCATTTATGGTGACCACCGTCTAGACTGGGACACAGAGGCACAGCGGGTAAGATGTGGAGCACGGCCCAGACACGTGCTTTGCTGCCTCCACCTCTGATGTTTTTAGTGTGAGCGCAAGAAAAGCCAGCAGCTATGGTTACCCGCCTGTTAAAAGGGTTACTTCTGCCAATAGTTTCAATTCTGATAATAATTTGTGTTCAGGGATGCAGCTCAGTGGTAGAGTGTGAGCCTCGTATGAATGAACACCTGGATAGCATCCCTAGTACCACACAAGGAACACTTTGTGAGCCTTATTTCACAATAAATGGACATTAGTTGTAGGAAAACCAACAGGGCTGCAAACCAAGCCCTCTTGGGCCAGTTTGGAAGGTAGCAGCAGATATGACCCAGCAGCCCAGCCTAGCAAGCAACAATTACCACGATGGGGGCACCAGCAGCAGTTTCCAAGTCCTCATCAGGCAGGAAATCTGTAAGAAACACAAGCACATGATGTAAGGGTGGGGGCCTGGGTAGCAAGAACATGCTGCAGAGAGGGATGAGCCCTCATGACAGGGCCCCACTGCAGGTTACCCTCTAAGCTCAGGAAAGAAATCCCGGCGTCTGGGCCATGGAGACTACTCAAGCTGACAGGCTGAACTCAGCCCTCCGCTCCCACCAGGATGCCACTGCTGCCTAGAAGGTACCAGGCCAAATGGCAGCATAGGCAGGTATGCACAGCTAGGCCCAAAGACTGAGGGAATGGAAAAACGTTCTTGCTGAGGTAAAAGCGGAGGACAATTTGGGCAAGAAACAGTCTGGCCACAGAGCAGCCCACAGCCTAATATAGCTAAAGGGTACATACACCTGCTCCCGCCATGCCATGCTAGGCCAGGCACATGGGCTCACCTGCGTCAGAGTCTGAACTGAGGCTGGATTCAGAGACCTCCAAATGGACACTGGACGATCCAGGATACAAAATTCTTTCGAGCTCCTGGATCTCCTGCGTTATTTTCTCTCTCTCGGCGTCTATGTCCATGGCTTCAACCTGCCTTCACAGTGTTACGAAACAGGAGAAACTGAGTGTACCTGGGTGTCATCCTCCTTTAGATGCGCACTTGCTGGAGATGGCAAGCGCCTGCTCAAAAGCAGACAATGGGGTACCCAGATGGAGACTCGGGCTCAAGAGAAGCTTAGGGGCACCCTGAGATTAAGTTCCTACAAGCTGACACTTTTACACCCAGGAACTCCCGTTCTTGACTCAACACCTGTCAATACACCCGAAAATGACCCTGCCTTCGTGAGGCTACCATTACCACAGGTAAAAACACAGTCTACCTGTGTGGCCTCTGTACTCTTATGCCCAACCACAGGGAGCTGGTCACCAAATGCAGAAAGTGCAGAGCAAAAGACGTTCAGCCCCTGCGATCCAAACTATGACCACAGCTGCGGATAGCCTGGCTGCACGGCGCTGAACGGTCAGCCTTCAGAGCAAGACTTTGCCTTTTTAGGACATCGCCCGGCACACGGTGCTGCCAGACACTGAGCAAGTGTCTACTGAAGCACAAAGGAGACGTTCTCTTGGGAACATGAAGCAAAATCCGAGACAGAAGGAAACTGGGAGAAGTGAAAGACCATTACAGAAAACGGAAGCTCAGGTGCGTGAGATGGCTTACCAGGTAAAGGTACCTGCCACTAATGACCTGAGTTCAGTCCTAGGAACAACATGGTGGAGAGGCCCTACTCCAGGTTTTCCTCTGACACCTCACTGCACGTATACAAATACGTGGATAAACAAATACAATAATGATAAAAAGCTGGGTGTGAAAGTTGGGTATAGTGGCCGTGTCACACCGTTAATCCCAGCACTCTGGAGGAAAAGGTAAGTGGATGGCTCTCTGAGTTTGAGGCCAGCTTGGTCTACAGAGTGAGTTCCAGGAAAGCCAGGGCTACACAAAGAAACATTGTCTGGGGGTGGTGGTGGGGGTGGTGGTGGAGAGATGGCTCGGTGGTTAAGAGCACTGGCTACTCTTTTAGAGGTCCTGAGTTCAATTCCCAACAACCACATGGTAGATCACAAATCATCTATAGTGGATCTGATGCCCTCTTCTGGCATAAAGGCATACATGCAGACAGCGCAGAAGAATGTGAGCTGGGCATTGGTGGCTCATGCCTTTAATCCCAGCAGGCAGATCTCTGTGAGTGCCAGACCAACCTGGTCTACAAGAGCTAGTTCCAGGACAGTCTCCAAAGCCACAGAGAAACCCTGTCTCCAAAGCAAAAAAAAAAAAAAAAGAAAGAAAAAAAAGAAAAGGAAGTGTGTGTGTCATACACTTTCTTCCTTTCAAGACAGGGTTTCTCTGTGTAACCTGGCTGGCCTCAAACTCTGAGATTCACCTGCCTCTGTCTCTCAAGTGCTGGGAAAGGGTGTGTGCTACCACCGCCTGGTGGCACACACCTTTAATCCTAGCATTTGGGAGGCCAGCAGGCAGACAGATCTCTGGGTTGCGGGTCATTAGTGAGAGCCTGTCTCAAAAGTCAAACATGAAGAGAAAGATCCTGCTCCTGGTTTGACTTTTTCTTCTGGTTTTTCGAGACAGGGTTTCTCTGTGGCTTTGGAGGCTGTCCTGGAACTAGCTCTTGTAGACCAGGCTGGTCTCGAACTACCTGCCTCTGCCTGCCGGGTGCTGGGATTAAAGGCGGGTGCCACCACCGGCCGGCTTGGCTTGACTTCTTACTATTGAGGTAATGACAGGAGCCTTGCCTGGCTGCATCAAAACAAAGTAATTCCCTTCAGCACTGCCGTTCCCGAACAAGAAGCCTTACATCTAACCAAGCATGGTTAGAAGCAGCCAGGTATGCAGACCTAGTTTAAAAACAAACAAACAAACAAACAAACAACACCTCCACTGGACCCCTGGCCTCCAACGAAAAGGCAATGTGTGTTTTGAGGCGGCAGGGATTCCATCTTCCCCCCATCGCGTTGTCCAAGTGAAGGAAGAAAAAGTCACAGGTGTAAGTCCCAAGTTGGGAGCCTCAGGCCGCCCTCACTGACATCACAGGCGCCTTTCTGCCTGTCCCTTCTAAGGGATAACTTGACTCCGGAAAAGGCAGTTGAGGGCCCACGCACCCTGTGTGTGTGGATTCGATTAGCCAGGCTTGACCCCTGGTGCCGCAGAGCATAACGGGGACGAGCAGCGGCTCGAAGCACACAGCACTGTGCAAACCTGCTGTGTCTCACCAGATGCTAGACTTCGGCCGGGCTCGGGATGCTGGCTTTCCGTTCCGGCAAGGTCGTGGCCACGCCGGGCCTCGGTTTCCTCACGCTGCCTCACCCCTCCCGTACACAACGCCTGCTAGCTGCAACCCGCCTGTGCTCACCTTCTAGGCCGCTCTACACACTCCACAGCCAGTTCCCGTCACCCAGGCGACCACACGCACATCACACTTCTGGCGGCCACGGAACTCAGTAGCTCATACCGGAAGTCCCGCCCCAGGCCGCGGCGCAGAGCATGCTGGACGGCTGCTGGGGCGGGGCCCTAGTCAGGAGCTCAGCTTCCTCCAAGTACTCTGGGAGCTGCACGTTTCGTCCCTGGTGTCCTGGGTTTGGGTGCATGGCCAGTGAGTGTGTTGCTAAGAACTGTCTCGCATTTGGCGAACCCAGAGCCCATAGCCTGAGACCGTCTGGCTGTGAACATTCATTCATTCAGGACCTGTCTTAGAGGCCAACACCTCAACAGGGCTGGATAGGGGAATGGGGGGGGGTCTTCCTAGTGTCTAATAATGTGTGAGTGGCAGGAGCAGAGCAAAGGCTTAAGGCACAAGGCCGGTGAAAGTCTGGCTCAGTGACATGCGGGACCTGGGAAAGGCCGTGGCCTTATGGCATACTGAATAGAAGCCAGCTGCCCACACCACTGAGAGTGAGGATAGGGTCCCATTGTGAACCACAAAGAGCTAGAGTCACAAAAGCAGAGACTGGTGGCACAACCCTTTAATCCAGCACTTAGGAGACAGAGGCAGGCAGATCTCTGAGTTCAAGTTCAGCCTGGTTTGCACACAAATTCCAGGACTATGTAGACCCTGTCTCAAACAAAACAGAAACCAGAGTCATGGCAAGTCTGGCCAAGAGTAGGGATTGGCCCGAGTGAGTCTGGGACATTGAAGCAGACCTGTCGGTTTCTGGTATTTAATTTTTCCGTGTACAAGGGAGTCTTGTATAAACAGGCATATTTCACCACACTTGTAACTTTTTTTTTTTTGACACAGGGCCATGCAGAACAGGTTGATCTAGAACTCAAGAGATCTTCTGCCTTTGCTCCATGGTGCTATGAATAAAGGCAAACATCGCCAAGCCTTGCAGTGCTTGTAAAACCCTATTTATGAGCACTTTGCACATAAACCATGAGAATAGTGTATAAGCAACTGCATAGCTCCCACCTTGCTCACTTATAGTGGTAAGGGCAGCCAGAAATCTGCTGAGGATGGTAACACTGCCTCGAGTTCTGTGGTCAAAGGGAACACTACCTCAGTTTCCCTACAAGTCCCTCCACCTTTCTCTTTGGTCTGCTGAGTCAAGACACCAACAGTGAGCTAGGGATGCTACACCCTGGCTTCTAGAAAGCTGTAACTTTCCTTGTGGCTGAGCTAAAGGGCCTAGTAGTTTAGTGTCTTGTCATTCACCCAGCCTCAACACATGCAGCAAAGATGTGGCCTGCCCATCATACTGAGAGTGTAGTGATTCTTGCAATATGCCTGACTCCAGGGATCAGGAACCTGGGGATCTGATAAGCCAGCAATGAAAAAAACACCCTCTTGCCGGGCGTTGGTGGCGCACGCCTTTAATCCCAGCACTGGGGAGGCAGAGGCAGGCAGATCTCTGTAAGTTCGAGACTAGCCTGGACTACCAAGCGAGTTTCAGGACAGCCTCCAAAGCCAGAGAAACCCTGTCTCAAATAACCAAAAAAAAAAAAAAAAAAAAAAAAAAAAGAAAAAAGAAAAAAGAAAAAAAAAACAGAAAAAAACACCCTCTCAAGATGCAGACCTTGAGGTTCAAAGAACAGGGTGCCTCTCAAGCATTATTCCCTAATGAAGCCAGAATGATAAGGCAGTATATATGATCTTCAGGATTTATTTAGACAAGAAAGTTGTCGATCTCAACAGGAGGGGAAAAGGAAAATTAAAAAAAAATCTATAGGAAAATGGTCCCCAAACCCCAGCCCTCAGCCACAGGGTGCTGAATATGCCTTGCTTGTCCTTGAAAAACCAGTCAGTGCTGACTTTCCGGGGTATGTGTGTCCTTAAAATTTCAGTCTAAATCGCACTGTGCACGGCTCACTGATACATAACATGCATCAAAACTGATAGCCCCAAATGGCTTTCCAAAGCTGAAGGCTCACAGCAGTGACTTTCCAAAGCTTTGCAATGTGGAAGAGCTGTGACCTTGGTTGGTTCTAAGGTCCTGGTGGGCGGACAGCATCTAGCAAGTGGTGCTGCTGCCTTACTGAGCCTGACTGCAGGAGCCACCCTGTGAAGGCCACAGTGTCAACCGTCAGCTAGTGAGGCATTGAATGACAGGTAAAAGGCATGAGTCCCTGTACAGGCTGCTCACTCCCACACAGCTCGGTGTTCAGCTTCACAAAGTTGAGGCTGAGCCCGAGTTTATCCTACAGCTAAGTCCAAGAGGATAGGGGAAGTTTCTTACAAAAGTGCTGTTTTTAGCTTTAGTGATTTCTGAAAATTGCTGGATTTTATAAAAATGCCTTCTAGTAAATCAGTGAGTCTATCAACAGTGGGACTTTCCCTGAAGGGCTGCATGTAAACCGTCAGGTGCAGCTGGTGGAAAGTAGTCCCGCATTGCAGGTGGCCAGTGACACTGCTTAGGTCGTGAGATGCTTTGGTGAAGACTGCACAGTTAGGGGCACATTTGGAAGATGAGCTGGTGGCACTGGTGCAGAGGTGGTGGGAACTGGTGGCAGCTAGTGGTTCTCAAGAGTCCGCCTCATCTTTCACTTCAGTAATTCTGTCGATAGACTTTAGGATTTCAGCAACGAGGTTCAGGGTCTCTGCTCCAGACACCAGTTGCCTGAAACAGACAGATACCAGGGCCGTTACTCCAGCTGTGCAAAAGCAGCCAGTGACTGATCTAAAGGGAAGGATGCCAGAGAGAAAGCTCCTGAGATCAAGCAGGGTTTGTTTGGCACACTGGACTTGATGTGGCTGTCCTCAGGCCCATGTGCTTGTGCCCTGGCCAGCTACCCTGGGCCTAGCAGTAGAGCTCGGGAAAGGCAGGTACAGATGGTGGGCTGGAAGCCAGACAAGTTCAGCAGAAACTGATTCTGAAGTTTGGTCTTTGCCTAGGCCAAGGAGGTGGTGCGCTGCTCTCAGTGATGTGGTCAGCAGTCACTGCAAGCCACACGCTACATGAGGGCAACTACCAGGAGGACTACTATGCTTTCGTGTACAGTAGGTCAGAAAATTAAATGCACTCTGACAGGGTTACCAAGCTGCAGCCTTGGTGACTGTTTAATCACCATCAACAATTGACTAGTGCACAGTATGCTCACTGTGGCAGTCTTCTGTGTAAGGGGGAAGCTACTGATCCCCTTTATTCAGAGCTGCAGGGTCTGTAGGTAAAAGAGATGGATTCAAGTTGTGGTATCATCCACATCTTCCAGGTGAGAAGGTTCTCTGGGACAGATTAAAAATAAAAATCTGGGGCTAGTCAGCACGGCGGAGGCAGAGAGGCAGAGGCAGGTGGATCTCTTGTGAGTTCAAGGCCAGCCTGCTCTACAAAGCAAGTTCCAGGACAGGCTCATAAGCTACAAAGAGAAGTCCTGTCTCAAAAACAAACAACAAACAAACAAAAAATCTGGGGCTGGAGAGATGGCTCAGTGGTTAAGAGCACTGGCTGCTCTTCCAGAGGATCTGGGTTCAATTCCTAGCACCCACATAGCAGCTCAGAACTGCCTGTAACTCCAGTTTCAGGGGATCCAACAGGCTTACACAGATGTACATGCAGGCAAAACGTGAATGTATATGAAAATGAAAAATTGCCACTTTTAATCCCAGCATTCAGGAGGCAGAGGCAGGCTTACCTACAGAGTTCCAGGCCAGCCAGGACTATACAGAGAAACACTGTCTCAAAAAACCAAAAATAAATAAAGAAAATAAAGAAATTCTAAACTGGGTATGTTAATGTATCCCTTTAGTCACAGAACTTGAGAGACAAGCAGGGGATCTCTGTAAGGCTGAGGCCAGCCTGATCTACACATAGTTGCAGAGTAGCTAGGGCTACATAGTGAGACTTTGCCTCAAAAAAAAAAAAAAAAAAAAAACAGGCGCACTCCTTTCATCTTAGCACTCCAGGGCAGAGGCAGATGGATCTCTGTGAGTTCAAGGCCAGTCTGGTCCACATACATAGTTCCAGGCCAGCCAGAGCTACACGATGAGACCCTGTCTTCAAAACAAAATAACAACCCTGCTTGACTACCTAGTGTAAACTAGCAGGTCAGCCAGACCACTTAGCCCATTTCCCTTCCTACTCTAGTCAGATGGTACAGCTGGAACATCTGGAGGCCATCCAGGGACTCACTTTATGGATGCATGTGCACTGTTCATAACAACCTGGAGGTTCTGCAAGGCCACATCGGTGTTTTGCTTCACCACTGTAAGGCTGGCACCCTGGCCGGACCGCAGGGTTTCATTCTCTCGTTTGCAAGTGGAGAGCTGTGCCTAGAAGGAGAGTGAGAAGCTAGTGATACGAGGCAATCCAGCAGAAAACCGCTGCAGCACACGCAAGAGGCACAGACGTGCACATGGGGCTGAGCCTGGCTTCATCTACTCACAACAGGTGCTTCTTGCCCTGTAGCCCAGGCTGGCCTTAAACTTAGGACTTTTTGCAAATAGTTAAACTCTTTTCTCTACTTACCTGGAGCAAACTTATTTCCTGTTTCAGCTTCATGACATGATTTTCTGCTTTTACAGCCCGTTTCTGTGGCCCCCAAAAATAAACACAATACACATCACTAAGGCCGTGTTAGTACAGGACACTTAATTCAACAGAGAGCAGTGAGCTATAACCTCCCTTCCTGGTTACTCTGCCCATGGATACCTATCCCTTAGGACCTGGGCTCTGCCTCTGCTCACCAACAGCACCGGGGACCACCCACCCCAAGACACAACCTGTTTACAGTACCAGGGTATGCTGGCCTACCACAGAACACATACTCAGCATAGTGAGAAACTCAGGGTCCAGCTGTGGACTCTGGCAACAGCAGCAAATGCCCTGTCTCAGCAGCTTCGTGCCCCCTGCCCACTACCCCAGAGCAGAGCCCCTCCGTACGGTCATCAGTTCGAGGTTCTGTTCAACTTGCTGGACCACAGATTCCAGGTCATGGAAGTCACTCTCCTCCTTGATCATCTTCGCTTCCAACTTTCGTTCAAGCGTCCTCACCCTCAGTAAAGGAAACACTGAATTGAGTTCTCCAGGCCATTGTCAAGGATGCCTC